TCTGAGGAACCTTCGTGCCCAGGAGATCCACGACGATGTAGACCCCCCTCTTGTAATAGGTCACCTCCCGGTTGGTCTCCGCTGGCACTCCTTCGAAGACCTCTCACTGCCACTCCAGAACTACCAAAACCACCACCTCCCCTCGTAGTAGTTGATAGCTGACTGACCTGCACAACTGGAGCACTGCAAACCTTCTCGATGATCAACTGTGCAATTCGATCACCCACCTCGAACACTCGGGAGACATCCCCATGGTTGGCGAGAATGACCTTCACCTCCCCCCCGGTAGTCACAGTCGATCACACCACCAGCGACGTCCAGGCCTTGTGCTGCTAGAGAACTTCTAGAGGCAATCCTCCCGTAACTTCCTCTTGGGATCTCAATGGCAACACCAGTAGAGACCAAACGTCGCTCCCCTGGTGCAAGCTGAACTCGCATGGAAGTCGACAAATCCCAACCTGCTGCCCCCTCTGAACCCTTCACTGGAAGCACGGCCTCGTCATTCAAGAGCTTCACCTTGACCTCCTCTTTTCCTGACAGGATCCGCTTGATCATGATCATCCCCACATCCTTGACCACGTGCAAAAAGCAAACCAACCCTGCCAAAAAGACTAGCCAGCCCAAGTCTCCAAACATAGAAGGCGACTGCTTGTTGTCCAACTCTCCCTTCTCACAAACCTCCCTTGCCTCTCCCCGAGGTAACAAAGACACCCCTGCCAGCATCGCCGCCATGCATCTGGACAACTTCACCCCTTCTCCTGAAGCAAGGACCACCGGCTCCGGCTCCTGGATTTGTGGATCTATCTGAAGGCGAACACCACGACGAAACTTCTCCAAAGCTTGTGCAGGAAGAGACTTTGTGAGCGCATCTGCCCACAACGCAACCCCAGCCCTGTGGGACAAAGTGAGCTCCCCCTCCTTGACCGCCTCGGCGAGACAGCTAGCTCGGATGCGCAAATGTCTGGTTCTCCATCCTCCCCCAGTCCCTGAAGCCAGGATAATGGCTGCACGGTTATCATTGTAGATCTCCAGGTTGACCTCGTCCATGAGCAAAGTCACCAAAGCCGTCACCGATCTGCCCGACTGCAGTCCCTCCACCAGAGCTGTCAGCTCCGCCTCTGCAGTCGAGAGAGCCATCAAACTTTGCTTCCTGCTCTCCCATTGTACTGGGCAGCCAGCCACTAAGATGATGGTGCCAGACACACTGTGGCTATCACCAGGACTGAACGATGCGTCCACCAGGACTTCGACTGTACCTTTCTTTCTTGGTCGAGGGCGTGAGAGATCTGGATCCTCATCCACGGGCACCTCCTTCGGATAGTACAAGCCCAGGTCAATCGTGCCCCGCACATAGTCCAAGATAGCCTGGCCCAGCTCAACTGTCCATAAAGGTCGCTTCACAGCCCATTGGGACATTTTCATCACTGCCCAAGCGATATCTGGCCTGGTTTTCCCAGAGAGCCACAATAATTCACCGGTGATCTTCTGCGCTTCTCTCACTCTGGCGATTGAAGGTTCTTCCTCCTCCTTTTCATCCGGGACCTTGATGAACAATGCCTTGCCCCTTCCCGCATGTCTTTCCAATACTTCCCGCACATAGCTTCCTTGATGGAGGAAGTACATACCATCTGCCAATCGCTGAATCTCAATGCCCAAGAATCGCATCGGTGCCCCCCCTGGGACTGCATACTCGGGACTTGAGGTTCTCCACACCTTCTGAATCATGCCGGAAGCTGCATCTGTCACCTCCTTTGGTCCCACCATCAGGATATCGTCCACGTAGACGATCATGAAGCCTTGCACCTCTCCCCAATTCCTTGACAAAGAAGAGGCCGACCAGCTCACCTCCTGGATCGCCCACAAGTTTGCATCCTTCAACTGACGGAAGCCAAACTTCTTCTGCACCGTTTGACCCTCCTGGTCCACCGTGTTGAACACCCCCTCCATCTTCAGCAGCTCTGCATCACGGTAAACGCTCCAATCCTTTGGAGAAGTCACCAAACCGTACATGGCGGACGTGATCACCCAATGCTCATCAGGCTTGGCAAGAGCTGCTTCCACAAGGATTCTGGGTGGTTTCACTATGACCAGTTCACCCTGAGCCTTTGGTGCCAGCAAAAACGCCGACTTCACGTCCAGCGAGAGACAATGCCAGTCTTGAAGTGCAGCTACCCGTAATATGGCTCTCAACTGAGTCGAATCTGCCCCAGTCGCGTAGACCTCCTCCCCGGACCTGGACTCCATGTAGTTTCCACAACACACAATTCGGGCTCTTCGTCGTCCGTCTCCTGCTTTCCTCGTGAAAACTCCCATTCCCGGAATGATCTCCGCCCGTTGGCCTTTCTCCTCAGCTTCTTGCACCAGCTTCAAGGCTTCTACTTCAGAGACTCGCTGGATGGCCTGATTGGTGTCGAAGTTGCCAATTTCCTCCTGCAAAGGTGGAATCCATAGTGGCAGAGTCTTCCGAACTTCACTGAGGCCGATTGTCCTAGTTTGCAGGAAGGTCTCCTCGTTCTCCGCCTGCTCCAAGACCG